GACCTCTCTCTCGGTGCGCTGGGGGCCCGGGCTGCTGCCCCGCCGCCAGCCGCGCGGCCGCGCTGCGAGAAAAGCGCGCCCGGGTCGCCCCCCCCCCCCCCCCCCGGTGCACCGCCCGCATGCGCCACCCCCACACGGTGCAGCGCTTCGTGGCCGCATAGGGAGCTCCACCGAAGGCTCCAGTGGCACCGCCCGCATGCGTCCCCCATCTCGCGGAGGAGAAAAGCCTGGGGCCACCTCGCACACATCGAGAGTCCGAAGCTGGACCTTCTGGGTCGCGGCAGAAGCAATCAGCAGCGAAACGGGAACTCGATCGTATCGGACGTCTTGCGCCAGGGAGCACAGCAGCGCCATGCAACCGACCATCAGGCTTGGAGGCGGCCGAGGGGTCTGAGCTGGTTGGGCACCCGAGGAAATTGGTCAAAAGGGGGAGGTGAAAACAGATCCGTTCAACATCGGTCCCTGGACCCCTCCTGGGGTCCATCGATCTGGCGCAGTGTTTCACCCGGGTCCGTTGTTGACGGTTCCGGGGCTCAAACACGGCCACCGGAAGCAGAACAGCACAACACACTCGTCGAGCCCAAACTCGCTTGCTGCGCCCACTGCTGGGCCTCAGCAGACCCCCAGCCATGCAGCCCCAGCACCCAGCCGCATTGCTCTCTGAAAGACTCGGGATCGAATCGGATCGGGCCGCCCGAATCTGGCCGAAGTGGGCACTGCGGGGCGGGTCGGGGGGTGTGCGGGCGGGCCGCGGCTCGGCGGCGGCGGAGCGGCGGCAGCAGGAGCCCGCACCGCAGGGCTCCCACTGCGGCCACGCGCCACAGGGGCAGCGCAGGACTGCACGGCCGATTCCTCTCGCTGCAGAGGCCGAGAGTCTGGCCCAGCCAGTGGCGAACGCCACGCGCCGCGATCACTGTGCATGGGTTTTGACAGGGACGGCTTGCCGCCTGCTGCGCACGCTGCGACCCCCCCCCCCACACGTCCCTGTCAGAAAACAACATAACAGGTGCACTCTGCGGCAAACTTTGGGTCATGCGCGGGCACGAAGCGATCACGCTGCGCTGTCTTCCCCGAATTAGTGCATGCACTGAAGGGGTCCTAGCGGAGATTGAAAGATTTGGCGCACAAGGCGAGCCGATTTCGGTGGGCGGCCGGGTTCCCGGGTTCCGGGTTCTGTGTTCCCCAATTCCTGGTTGCTGGTTCCGGGCCGATTTCGGTGGGCGACGGGGGTTCCCGGGGTCCCCGGTTCCTGGTCGATCTCCTGATCGGTCGGTCTCACCATCGATCTCATTACCCACCTCTCTCCCGATCTCACAAATCGATCTCACAATCGATCCCAGTATCGATCTCACGATCGATCGCACGAATGATCTCACGATCGATCTCACTATCGATCTCGTTGATTCGACTTCACTATCGGTCTCACAATCGACCTTACAATCTTGATCACTGTTGATTCCACTATCGATCTCACAGTCCATCTCAGTACCCATATCACCAATCTCTAACCCGTCCACCGATTGAGGCTTTTCTCTGGTCTAATTTCCAGCAGGGGCGAAGGGGGCGCCGATTCTTGCAGCGATCGTGCGCGGGAGCGAGCCCCGCGATCACTCTGTGCTGCTATCCGAAAAGCGGTGATGCGGGGTGCCCCGGCACGCGCGGCGCGCCTCGCGGGCGTCGCGAACCTGGCTGGCGTCTGCTTTGGTTCTCGATCGTGGTCGATGGCGGCCCCTGCCCGAGGTTCGAGTGCTACTGCTGTGGTGGGAAGGCGGATGTGAGTTGGCGAGACGGCCGCCCTCGGGGGGGGGGGGAATCTTGACCCCTCCCCCTGCCCCTTCCCCCTGTGTCCAGAGGGGAGGGACCACGACCCTTTGGAGCGCCCACGACGGCTTCAAGAGGGCCTCGGAGAGCGCAAGATGGTTTCCAAGGCGGTTCACGAGATGGCTCAAGCTAACTTCCAGCATTTCCCCAAAAGGCCCCGAGGCCGCCCAGCGATTGCCACAAGTGGCCACGGAGCCTTCCTTGGAAGCCACCAGGAGGTCAACATCCTTCAGCAATCGCTGAGCAACTCATGTTCTTTTGCCCTCTCGCCGTTGGTGCTTGAGGCCTCAAGCTGGATCCAAACAGGCCCAAGGGAGTCCGATGAGGAACCCCAAAAGGGTCCCACTACGGCCCCGAGAGCGCTCCAGGAGGGGTCCACTGTCCAATAGGTGACTTGTAAGGGCTCTGGAGGGGCGAGGCCAATGAAAGATCCCCCCCTTATTTGATCGATGCCCTCCAAGATGGCCCTAAGCCACCCTCCTCCGCATGCGCCTGTTGCTCCTCATCCTCCCTCCTCCCCCCCTCCCCCTCCTCCGATTCCTCCTCCATCCTCTCCCTCTCGGGGCACGACGGCTGCCCCAATCCTTTAAAACGCATGCTCACTGGCCTCGGAGTGTGGCATTCCAACGCTCTGCTAACAGCGCTGCCTCGAGCGCCCTCCTGCTCGGACAAGCCACAAGCCAGGGTCGCAGGGCTCCACGACCAGAAGCGGGAGCAGCTCGCCTGGGATGGTGCCACGATTCCTCGGCATCTCGCTGCCACAACCTGCGAATACATGCACTCTGTCGGGAAGCTCTGCGCCGACCGCGCACTTTGGCGATCCCACCGAACTCTGGCCGCCGACCTGCCGATTGAGTCCGATCGGGCCTGCTGCCACAATAAGCATTCGGGAAATGAGACTCGGTCTAAAACATGGGTATGGCGGTGATGCCAAATCGCACATGTTGAGAACGTGTAAAACGCTCGCCGCTCACAAACATCCAGCGGCATAAAACGGTCGAACATGCCAGGTCCTCCTCGTGCAAGCGACCAGCGGAAAAAAAATCACGCTGGAATGCTGAGTGGCTTTGTCACGCTAACGTTGCTGCAAGCGAACTGCCAAACCCCACGGTGCTCCATGCACGCTACCAGGACGTGACAAACCAACGGCGATCCCGCCGACAGAGGCAGCAGAGCTAGTGGTGTCTCAGAAAAGCCAACTTGAAACAGTTCGCCGCGACGTCGACCAGCGAACTCGTGCACCGAAACACACGTTGCGCATGAACGGACGGGCCCACTTCCCAACCTTTGCTGCAACCTGGTCGAATGGGGAGCAAACGAAAGGTACCCGCCCCGATGCACCCGACACAAATACAACAATTCCCTCTAGCACCCTATCATGATACACGGGACCGCTGATGAGAAGATAACGGTATCAACACAACTAATCCGTGGCGGGAACATCAACCGTACCTGACAATTGCGGGCGCGGTGCTGGAACATGATAATGCAATACTTTGTTCTCTACTGTCTACAAAAATACTGTTTATACAATGGCACCCGTGCGACGAATACCGCTAACACTCCTAATACGACAACAACTATCAACGTCACTACTACCGCCTCTACCATTACCAATGTCAAGTTACCAACAAGCAATCACCTTCCATCTCAATCCTCTCTGGCCGCCCTTATCTCGCAAGCAACAGACTATGTCCCGTTAACACAGTACAGTTGCTGCACAAATAGCCGTACAACCTCGCCACGTTCAAAGCATGTGAGCAGCGCGCCATTCGGCAAGAAAATGCGTGCCTGCAAAGAGTATTCTCACACTGACTGGGTAAAGCAAGCGTGCCGCGTGCCAACCATGTGCAAGCCAGCCTGGCAATCTGTGTTGTGGGGGCGCCACTCGCCACCGCCTCATCTTCAAGCTGAGACTAAGGGCCCACCAAGCGGTCATCACCAACATGTTGCAGAACCACTGCTGCTCCAAACAGTGCTAATGTCTGGCATTGAGCCTGGTAGTCAACGCGCTGAGGTTCGAGGGTCACCCTGCAATACCACTGCCGTGTTAGCCACATCTGGGGAGGGGGGAGGGAGGGAGGAAGAGGAGGGGGGAGCGTATGGGATCGGAACTTCGCGGAGATGATGCGTCGTTGCTGCTGCCGCCGTAAAAGGATAAGAGCAGGAAGAGAAGGACCACTGGGAGCAGAATGGGCAGGGGAACGATAATTCACACAAGCAAGCTTGCTCCTAGAATCCAACCGCGTTCTATGATCTTTTCCAAACGGGTAGGATAATCATGAGGCGAAATGAGCAGAGATGCCAACGTTGAACGATGAGAATATCTGCTTTCATATGCGGTGCGAAGAGGAAATAAGATGCGAGGTGAGGAGGAGAGGAGGAAAAGAGTGAGCGGTGGCGTGCTGCGTATTTGCACTGTTTCACTTTCGCGTCCGTCCCAATCTTTAGCGCATGTTCCTCTCTGTAGTGCACGCTCCCAGCTAATTGGACTGAAAAGGCTATGCTGCTAAACTTGGCACGAGCAAAATTGCCTTGAACTAAAAGTTGTGTCTGGTAGATCTCAAGCATTATGGCTGCTTGACCTTAAAGCGCCCATGACAAGAACAGCCCGGGTTCGCAGGCTGGGGCTGCTGAGCCCGAGCTCACAGAAGCAAATACATATAGGCTGGTGCGGGCGCAGGCCGATGGCCCTGGGCCACGAAAGGATGAAGCAGGAGAAGCCGCGCCCTCCTTGAGGTGCAAGGTGTGGCGGCATGGCTGGAAGCAACCCAGACATCCTCCTTCGTGATACTTTCCCAGCCAGGCTCGCCAAGAGTCTGGACCCCTTCCCTGGGGCTGGCTTCTCATCCCAAGTCCTTCTTTGGTGGCCCTGGGGAGGAAGAGGAGGGGGAAAGAGCGTACGGGATCGGAGCGATGCGGAGATGATGACTCGTTGCAGCCGCCGCCGTAGAAGGATAGGAGCAGAAAGAGGAGAACCATTGTAAGCAAAATGTGCAAGGGAACAATAACACATACGCACTTGCTCCTAGAGCCCAACCGCGTTCTATGATCTGTTCCAACAGTTTCTAGAGAGGGGCATGAGTGGCTAAGGCCCGGATCGGCAAAAACAGACGAGGAAAATGCCTTGAACTTAAAAGTTGTGACTGCTGGATCTTAAACATTTTGAATGCTCGCCTTCAAACGACCATGACAAGAACAGCCCGGGTTCGCAGGCTGGGGCTGTTGAGCCCGAGCTCACAGAAGCAAATACACGAGGGGCCATCGCCACGCAACGAGGAGATCTGTATAGAGTGGTGCGGCCACGGGCCGATGGCCCTGGGCCACGAAAAGATGAAGCAAGAGAAGCCGCGCCCTCCTTGCGGTGCACGGTGTGGCGGCGTGGCTGGAAGCAGCCCAGACATCCTCCGCCCAGAGGAAGAGAAAACGGCATACACATCAAGTTTTGGCGCTCCGCACGGATTTCTTGGATCCGCGCTGGACCCTTCCCTGGCGCGCGGAGCGCGCCAGGGGCGACGCCGGAGGCGCCGCCAGGGGGGCCCCAGCGCGGATCCAAGCCATCGGCGCGGAACACCAAAAGATTATGTGTATGGTGCTTTTCTTCTTCGATGGAAGCACCCCAAACATCCTCCACCGTGAAACTTTCACAGCTACCAAAAAGTCTCCTTTCCCGGGGCCCGGGTGAGGGCCACTCGTGGAGGCCTCCCAAAGGGGGTCTGAGGAAGATTGGGTCGGGGGATCACGCCGCATCGTCGATGCATCACCGATGCATCGGCGACGTCGGCGATGCATCGGCGACGTCGGCGTGGAGAACATCGGCCTCCGCATCGAGCCGCATCGGCGATGCATTGGCGATGCAGCGCGATCCCCCGACCCCATCTGCTCGGACCCCACCTGGGAATCCTAAACCTCAGAGGCCGAGAATGGGCGCAAGCCCTCCGCCGTGAGAGACTTCTGCAGCAACTCATGGAAACTTCCCGTACCAGCTGACTGGCTCTTGCGAATCGACGCCAGTCGACGCTACATCAACGCTAATCGATGCCGAGTCGGCGCTCTCTCATCGATTATCGGAAACTCACGCACGCTACTGCACTCTGACGACGGAATTGCGAGGACACACAATGCTCCGCTCTTCTACCGAACCCTCCGTCGCGAGAGAGGATGCCAGAGAGCGTGCAAACGGCAGGTTCGTGTTGTGACGACCCCAGCGTTGGTCTCTGACACCGCGCGGATCGTTCCGCCTGCAAGAGCTTCGGCTGCCTTTCGCTCGCCGATTCTCTTTCTACATCGGCTGACGCCCGGGCCACAGGGCGGCGCTCGACCTCGCAAGCCCGCGGAGGGGTTGCCGCCGCGCCGACACCACACGAACCTACCGCAAACATTAAGTCGGGCCTGTCCCCCTACAGGGGGATGTTCGACGAAAAATAAAAAACAACCCTACAAATATGCCAAAATGGTCGACAAGTACTGAAAAAATCGTCCCGGACCATCTTTGGACTATCTTTTGATTATGTTTGAAATATTCTTTATTTCTCGTCGAAAATCCCCCCCTGTACAGGGACAGGCCCGACGTCAGCCTGCCGCAGACAGAAGCGAAACGCACGATGTGCCCGAGCCGTCCGCGACGTGCTGGCGCAGGCCAGGCTCGGGCGTCCGCGCGCTCGCCCGCGCGCGCCTCCGCGGCGGCGTCAGGGAAGGGGGGCGCTCCGGGCGCCCGCGGGGGGCCGGCGAGCCTAGCCCCTGCGGTGGTGGGGCGCCGAGCGCTGCTGCACCGCCAGCTGCATCCTGCTGCCTCCGCGGGGGGGGGGAGACGGTTGACAGGGGGAGGGGAGGGAGGTTCCAGGACCGATGGGATGGGCTGTTCGGGTGTCCCAGCCTCCCTCTGGGCGCGGGCGGTGCAGAGAGACGCCTCTTCCAACTCCACAGCCTCTTGCCTGCTGCCTCCGCGGGTGGGGGGAGGGGGGGGGGGATGGAAATTCAAGGACTGAGGATTGGATGTGTTCGGATGTCCCAGCATCCCTCCGGCCGCAGGCGGTTCAGAGAAACAGCTATTCCACCCCACACAACCTCTTGCCTGCTGCCTCCGCGGGGAGGGGGAGAGGCTGAGGGGGCAGGAGGGGGGTTCAAGTACAGGGCTGATGATTGGGCTGCTCGGATGTCCCAGCACTCATTTGGACGCAGCTGGTTCAGAGAAACGACTCTTCCACTCCCACAACCTCTTGCCTGCTGCCTCCGCGGGAGGGGTTGAGGGGGAGAAGAGGGAGATCAAAGGCTGAGGATTGGGTTGTTCGGATGCCCCACCATCCCTCTGGGCGCAGGCGGCTCAGGAGACACGGGTCTTCCACTCCCACAACTTTTGGCCTGGTGCTTCCGCGGGGGGAGGGAGGGGTTGAGGGGGTGGGAGGAGGGGGATGACCAAGGGCTGAGGATTGGGTTGTTCGGATGTCCACGCATCCCTCTGGGCGCAGGCGGTTCAGAGAGACGGGCCTTCTACCCCCACAACCTCGGTCGATGGACTGAGGATGGGATCGTCCAGATGTCCCAACATCCAACATCCCTCTGGGCGCAGGCGGTTCGAGAAACAGCTATTCCACCCCACGCAACCTCTTGCCTGCTGCCTCCACGGGGTGGGGGGAAAGGTCGCGGGGTGGGGGGAGGAGGGAGGTTGAAGGACTGAGGATTGGTTTGGATTGGTGTGTTCGGATGTCTCAGCATCCCTGTGGGCGCAGGTGGTTCAGAGAGACATCTCTTCCACCCCCACAACCTCTTGCCTGCCGCCTCCGCGGGGGGAGGGGGGAAAGGTTGAGGGAGGGACGCGGGAGGTTCCAAGACTGATGATTGGTCTGTTCGGATGTCCACGCATCCATCTGGGCGTAAGCGATTCAAAGAAACGGCTCTTCCACGGCTCGTCCACCCCCACAACTTCTTGCCTGCTGCCTTCGCGGTGAGGGGGGGGAGAGGGGTTGCGAGGGGGACAGGAGGGAGGTTCAAGGACTGGCGCAGGTGGTTCATCGAAACAACTATTCCGAAATGACAATCTCTTGCATGCTACTTCCGCGGGGGGGGGGAAATTGGTTGACAGGGGGGCAGGGAGTTCAGACCGAGGGAGGGGTTGTTCGGATGTCCCAGAATCCCTCTGGGCGCAGGCGGTTCAGAGAGACGGCTCTTCCACCTCAATAACCTCTTGCCTGCTGAGGGAGGTTCAAATATTGAGGATTGGATGTGTTCGGATGTGACAATCAATCAATGATGGCGGCGATGCTCCGTGGAGGGAGTCACCCTTCACGCTGCGTGGCCCATGGATTTCAATGCTCTGCTCAATCCAGCGGGGCTCGGCCAATGATAGCGACGAAGGATGCACCGCGGAGGGAAGGATGCAGGGGGGCCCTTGGGAAGGCTGCCCATCCTTCCTATGCGGGTTGAGTGCGTCGTGCAGGCATGCGATGGACATTCCTTGATCAGCGGGGAGCGGGTCGAGACCGAAAAGACCGAGACGACAGGCAGCCGAGGCGGAGGCGAACGACGGAGGAAGGCGGGGCAAGCGAGCTAAAAGAAAGATGAGTCACGGGCAGACATAACAGTGGTGCGGGATGTCATCTCCTGCCGCCACGAATTGGCGCCATCGGTGCCTCTTAGCGCGTTCCCGAAAACGGCGAGTGGCGCACCAACTGTTGGTGACCCCTACAAGGGCCGCGATCGTGAGGAACCAGGGAGCAAGGCAACTCGACCGACGGGGATGCGAGATGGCCAGAGCAACTTGGGCAAGGGCCAGCCCGATATTGAATACCTGCGTCGCCTGTCGAGCTCGTCTGTAGAAATGTTACAGCGAGCCTGCAGAGATCTATCGTGGGGCATTCAGAGCTCGATAGCTACGAACCATTTGAGCGATACAACTCTTTTGTCACCGTTGTCCCCGGACGTGCGTGGCCAAGGCTACGTCGCTGTCGCCGGCTCGTCGAAATATTCGCAGGCCTCGCGGAATGCCGTTGCATAGGAAGCACGTCTGCACTGCGCCGCCTGGGCCATGCACGCACGAGACCTCGCCTGCGCGGGCAAGCCAAAGTCCTTGGCGACTTCGAACGATTGCGCGAGAGAGCGCCCCTGGGCGCCAGGACGAGGGTCTGGAGGGATTCCCGTTCAAGACGATATGCTTCGGAAGTGGAGGAATAACACTGGGCGACGCGGCCCAAGGCACTGCGACAGAAAGTATTGCACGCACGCGGCTCCGACGTTCACACGCTTCAAAACCTGATCGCGCCCGAGATATGTAAGGCAACCTCGCGCCGCGCCGCCGCCCTCCCTGCCAGGCCCAAGAGGATCCCGAGGTAAGAAAGGACCTCGTTCCTGGGCAGAGCGGTCACTACAACTACGACGGTTTGAGCACGGGCCCAGCCGACGACGCTCCACGCCGGCAGCAACGAGCGCAGCGCCTGGTGGAGATCAAAAGCGCCGAGGCCGACGTCGTCGGCAAAGGCGGCGACGGCAACTGGATGCCGAGGGCTGCAGGATGAAACATGCAGAATCATTGGGTCAAGTGCCAGGGCTCGGGCGTTTCCAGATTTTGGGCGCCCCTGCATGGCCCCCCTCTGGAGCTGGAACCCACCCTTCCTGGGGCCCCCAAGGGCTGGCGATCTTGCTCTCGGCGCTCGACGGCGACGTCGACCGAGTCGAAGCAGGGAGCCAGGAAGCGCCCTCAGAGCAGTCGGAGGCGGAGGTGCGCTTCGCGAGGAAGACGCGCATGGCAAAGTCAAAGGTGTCGCAGGGAACGTGCCGTCGAGGACCACCTCGTAGATGGCAACCAGAACTTCCAGACCACGATCCCCAGGGCGAGCCCTCGAGAAAAAAAAAGACAGGGCCCCGTCAAGGCCAGGGGCGCTGCCCCGACGACGCCGAACAAGCTCGGCGAAGGCTCCGAACTCGAGCTTCCAGAGCGCGCGAGGTGGGCAGGGCTGCACGAAAGGCGCGATGTTCTCACGCGCCTTGTCGCAAGAACATCCCCCGCTGCGCGCCGTGTCCTGGAGCGAAGCCAACCTCTTTGAAACCTCGTCGGGGTCTGAGAGCCGATGGCCAGCGGGGTCAACTGCGCCTTTAAGGATGGCGGAACGCCTGGCCGAACCCGAGGTGCGTGTTACGATACTAACCGCACCTGCGTTTCAACCCATCGTTGGGGGGAGCGTCGCTTCGTTCGAGCTCGTCGAGCTGCCGTCGGATGTGCTGGATCGAAAGGGGGCCGAGGTGCCGATGTAGGTCTTGCTCGTCGGTGGCCTGCCCGCGCTCGAGCCGCCCGAGATGCCGAGCGGCGGCCGCGCGAAGAAGGCCCCTGCTCTCTGCAGGAGCAACGGCTGGATCCGGATTGGAACCGCCCGCCTCCAGCCAGACGGCGCCGACCGCAGCGGAGAACCCGAAAGCCTCGATGCCCGGGGCAGCGTCCGGGGGCCATCGGACCTCTGGAATACCGAGAGTGCCGAGGCAGGAGGGGCGCGATCGGGAGGGGGCCCCGGGTCCAGGACACCGCGCAGCACCAGAGAGTTCGGCTCTTCAGGGTCCTTAGGGCCCCCCAACACATGCGGGCAGAGATCCTGCCCAGACGCCCCGCAGACTGACCCCCCCCCCTTCGTCCACGACTCGTCAGCGAGGAGGCATCGGCTGGGCCACTTTCCCCAGATCCCCAGCGACGCTGCTGGCGAACTTGCCGAGGCCGCGGGTGGGTGCGCGCTGGCCGTCAGCGCCGCGCAAAAACAAGCGAGCCTCCGCGGCGGGATCGATGTGTGCGCGCACCTGCCTGAGCGCGGACTTCTCGGCTGCAGTGGAGAGGGCGGGCTCGAGGTTGGGGTTCAGAAATTGCGACGATGGCATAGGTCTGGATATCGGGAAAGTCCCGAACTTGGGACGCGCAAAAGTATCAGTGCCGCCCGAGGTGTCAACTGCGAAAAAGAGCCCCACGCCCGCAGACCTACCGCCTCCTGGCACAGGTAAATCAGGCCCCCTCCTGCACGTGGGCTTCCAGGGCACAGCTTTGTCATGGGTGGGGGGACACTTGGCAGAAACTTGGTTGCTCCTCTGACCTGTGCGGGCGGCAGTATTGACACATGCAAATGAAGTGTGGCCGTTCCAAGGCACGGCCACGAAGTTGCGCCGTGGCCGACAAGCAAGGGGAGCCCAGTAGACGCACTGTTACGCGAAGAAGAAGAAGAAGAAGAAGAAGAAGAAGAAGTGGAAGAGGAACAAAGAGGAAGGTGGGAGGAGAAGGAGGAGGAGGAGGACGAATTGTTGTTGTTCTTCCAGTGGACCCAGAGGTCTCCGTCATCTCGGCGAGGGGGCGACCTGCGACCCGACGCTGCCCTGTCTGGAGCTAACCTGCTCCATCTCGGAAAGCACCTGGCCGATGCCCGACAGAAGCTCATCTTGATCCTCGTCGGATCGGGCTCTCTTCTTGGGGCGCCATGCTGTAACGAGCCAGGCTCGCTGGCGTGATGCGAGGAAGAAGGGTCGCGCGCACATGTGGCGAGGGAACGGGAAAACGGGACCGACGGCCCCTGAAGCTCCCACGGGGATCGAGCGACACAATTGCTGCAGGGCGCGGAGGCCTTCGAGACTCCCCGTCAGATGTAGAAACTTCCAAACCCCTATGGCAGGTTCGGAACTTGAGCCAACATGGCTACGGAGGAGGAGGAGGTCTTCATAGGCCCTTACAACTATTCAAGGCCCGTTGGGGGGCACAGATCTTCAACGTGCCAGCACACCGTTCTCGGAACTTCAACGCCGCGAAACAATTTGGCTGTTGCGTCTCGACGATCCTGAATCGCGTCAGAACACCATTCCTGGAACTTCAACGCCGCGAATCAACTGTTGCGCTGGCAATCTTGAATCGCTCCAGAACTTGATGTCTGGTACGCGAACCATAGGAATCCGTGAAAGGATTGCAGCTGTTTGAAACGAATGCGCGCGGCGCTGAGGCGAGAACCTCATGTTGCAAAGTTGCAAAGGAACCACCTTCAATCCGTGAACTCTTGACTTCCGTTTCAACGAATCTTTGCGGCGCTAGAACGAGAACCATCCGTTGAAAACCACCCGCCCTCCATCCGTGAAGCTCTTGCAACGCTTCAAACGAATACTCGCGGCGCCAAAGCGGAAACCGCGCCTTGAAAACAGCCCGCGCTCCATCCGTGAAACTGTTGCTAAGTTTGAGCTCCGGGGTCCTACACGGCAGGGACGTCTCGAGCGAAACGCCAGGGCCCGCCCATCCGACCAACCCCAGGGTGAGACGCGGAGGAGCTATCTACAAGGAAAGAATGGAGGATGAGGAGGAAGAGGAGGAGGAGGAGGAGGAGGAGGAGGAGAGAAGGATGATGAGGAGGAGAAGGAGGAGAAAAGGAGGAGGAGTTGGGGGGGAGGAGGAGGAGGAGAGGAGGAGGAGGAGGAGGAGGAGGAGGAGGAGGAGGAGGAGGAGGAGGAGGAGGAGGAGGAGGAGGAGGAGGAGAGAAGGAGGAGGGAGGAGGAGGAGGAGGAGGAGGAGGAGGAGGAGGAGGAGGGAGGAGGAGGAGGAGGAGGAGGAGGAGGAGGAGGAGGAGGAGGAGCGGGGAGGAGAAGGGGGGATGATAGGGGAGTAGGAGAAGGGGGATGATGATGCTGGTGATGATGATGATGATGATGATGCTGATGATGCTGACTATGAAAATGAGGATGAGCATGACGATGATGGTGATGATGATGCTGCTGATGATGATGGTGGTGATGATGAGGAGGCGGAATGAGGCCCCTTCTTCGTCCTCCCCTTCCCCGAAGAACGGCTTCCTCGTCCTTCCCCCTCCTCCCGGGCGGCGTAGGCGGCTCGGCCTGGACTGGCGTCCTCCGTGCCCAAGTCGGACTGGGGCGGGTTTCCTCCGGGCCCGGGGGGGGTCTGCGGCATGGGTACCCACGAGGGAAGGAGGAGGGAGGAGGAGATAGAGGAAAGCAGGGGGAGAAGGAGTAGGTGGAGGAGGACGCAGTGGAAGAGGCGGAAGAGGAGGAGGATGGATGATGAGGAGGACAAGAAGAGGAGGGGGAGGAGGATGAGGATGATAACATGAGGAACAGGAGGAGGAGGAGGAGGAGGAGGAGGAGGCAGATCTGGTCGCGCGGAGGAGGGGGAGGAGGACGGGAAGGAGGGATGATGAGGAGAACCTGCACAAGGACACGCGGAGGCAAATCATCTCAACAAGTCGCCCTACCAACACTTTCGATGTTCTGACGACCGTGTCGCCTGTGGGATGGCGGGCGAATCTGGGGGCGTGTCGGGGATCGTGATTTCTAGAAGCCATGAAGCCCATATCCCCGAAGTCGCGATTCTTCACAACGCGGTCCCCTGGAAGTCTCGACCCATTCCCTGGGCATCCTGAATGGCTTTTTGACGGTCCGGGGGCTGGGCGAGGGCCCCCAAACACAGCAATTACGCTACCGAGGAACCCCACATACTTACAATATGTCTGGCGTGATGATAGCTGGCGTGAAGCTTGCGAGAATGATGCAGGTGGCCGTTGCTTCGCCGACCCCGTTGGTGGCACCTGTCAATGAGGTGGGAGCCTGAGTACCCTGAGTGGGTCCATAGGCCCTGTGACACCGACCCCCCTGAGCACCCTCTATGGTGTAGAGAAAGTGCCACGCCTGCTACGCCCTGCGCCATGGTCCGCATAGACGCCGCGCTCGGGGACCACTCCCTGCGCACCCCCTTCTGGCGTCGAGAAAGCGCCACGCCTGCTATTCCCTGCGCCATGGCCCGCATAGACGCCGCGCTCGGGGACCACACCCTGCGCACCCCCTTATGGTGTCGAGAAATTGCCACGCCTGCTATGCCCTGCGCCATGGCCCGCACAGACGCCGCGCTCGGGGACCACCCCCTGCGCACCCCCTTGTGGCGCCGAGAAGAAAGTGCCACGCCTGCTATGCCCTGCGCCATGGCTCGCATAGACGCCGCGCTCGGGGACCACCCCCTGTGCGCCCCCTATGGTGTCGAGAAAGCGCCACGCCTGCTATGCCCTGCGCCATGGCCCGCATAGACGCCGCGCTCGGGGACCACACCCTGCGCACCCCTTATGGTGTCGAGAACGCGCCACGCCTGCTATGCCCTGCGCCATGGCCCGCATAGACGCCGCGCTCGGGGACCACACCCTGCGCACCCCCTTCTGGCGTCGAGAACGCGCCACGCCTGCTATGCCCTGCGCCATGGCCCGCACAGACGCCGCGCTCGGGGACCACCCCCTGTGCGCCCCCTATGGTGTCGAGAAAGCGCCACGCCTGCTATGCCCTGCGCCATGGCCCGCATAGACGCCGCGCTCGGGGACCACCCCCTGCGCACCCCCTATGGTGTCGAGAAAGCGCCACGCCTGCCATGCCCTGCGCCATGGCCCGCATAGACGCCGCGCTCGGGGACCACACCCTGCGCACCCCCTTATGGTGTCGAGAAAGTGCCAAGCCTGCCGTGCACTGCGAATGCTACACGCACGTCTTGTACATGGCATGTCATGTGTATGTGGATGATGCGTGCGCGGCCGTATCGGGACGTGTGCCTCACGTGCGTGCCCAGTATGTAGCGCATACGTGAGCGGCCGTATCGGGACGTGTGCCTGATGTGTGTGTGTGTGTGCCCAGTATGTACGCATACGTCGTGTGTGTGCGTGTGTGTTGTGTGTGTGTCTGTGTGTGCGTGAGGAGAGGGAGAAGGATAGGGATGCGGGTGAGGAAGACGCGGTTGCGACGCGGCAGAGAAGAAAACCAGAACCCCACGAAACATGTGGGGCCACATCATGTGGGGAATAACCAGAACCCCACGAAACATGTGGGGAATTACGCTACTGAGGAAAGGTGAGGAGGGGAGGCGGGTGTGCGTGAACGCGGGTGCGACGCGGGTGGGAAGAAAACCAGAACCCCGCTAAGCATGCGGGGAACCAACAACTCCCCGGGCGTCTCCGGACACGTGTCTGGGGGCGTCTGGGGTCGTGCCAGGGCCTGGTGCCCCTCCTGGTGGCGTGTGGGAGGAGGGCGCGCCTATAGGGACGTGCCTGGGAGTCGCTGCAAGGGACGTGCCAGAGAGCGCGCTGCCAGAAGCGCGCCTGGAAGCGCGTCTGGCGTCGCCCCCGGGGCGGGCCTGCCTGGGGGCGTGTCCGAAGGCAGCCGTGAGGCAGCCGTGGGGACGAGGGCTCTCAAGGACGAGCAGCAGTGTCGGCGTGTGTTCCTCAGTCCTCCTCCTCCTCCTCCTCCTCCTCCTCCATCTCCTCCTCCTCCTCCTCTCCTCCTCGTCCTCGTCCTCCTCCTCCTCGTCCTCCTCCTCCTCCTCCTCGTCCTCCTCCTCCTCCTCCTCCTCCTCCTCCTCCTCCTCCTCCTCTTGCTGCAGGACGAGGAGAAAGAATACGCAGGAACTCTCCGAGGCCTGGGCGGATTCCGTGGACTGGCGCTGGACCCCTGGTGCGCGGAGCGCGCCAGGGGCGGGCGCCAGAGCGGCAAGGTGGGTCCAGCGCTGATCCAAGAGCCAATAGATGCCGGCCCACCTCTGACAGTTTATGCTTATGCCATGCTTCTTCTGCTTCGGTATAATGGCGCCGACGACAAGGCGAGCGAAAACAACGATTGAGCAGGGATTTTCGCATCCTGGTATCGCTATGGGCTTACCTTGACAGTCTCTTAGAACAAAAGGATTCGCAAGGTTCGCAGGGACCGAGGTGCCAGCCACAGTGAGCGCCAAAACCCAGCCTCTGAGTATCCCGAGGTTGTCTCTGATTTTATCTCTTCAGGGTACGTCTGCTCTGGGTATTACGATTGGCCGCCCCTGATGAGCGCCCTGATGACATCGATAATGTTCTTAGTGGAACATAGAGCCGATGCCTCAGAACGGCATCGCCTCGACCACAAATGTTCTACGAACTTTAATCGGCGGCGCGCGCGCGAGGGGAAGTGAGAGGGGGCACGCCTGTCCAGAAGCGGCGGGGCTTCTCGAGAGCCCGTCACCCTTCCGAGAAGCCACCCGTGCCTTCGGAGACGGCTCAACACACTTCTCTGAGACGGCTGGGGGCCAGACCCCCGACGTCGTGATTTTCTCACACCGTCGACCACCGAAAGGTCTGGACCCTCGGCGGTGGACAAACCTCCCTTTAATAAACCTCACTTTGATGAAAACGGCCTAAGACCTCAACCGACGGACCTGGACCCGCAAAAACGACGGCCGCGACGCCCTCTCGCGAACCGAAAACGGCCAATTCGCTAATCGACGTGTCAGGGTAAGAGGTCTGTCCACACCCATATACATACATACATATATATATATATATATATATATATATATATACAAGACTGCAGTGGCGCTTCGCGCCATGCACCTTGGTCCTTGAATTTTGGTATGCAGGCGGAAGCCGACAATTCAGCGATAAGTCCTTGTTGCCTTTTCTGGCATCGCCGCCTTAATAATGTTTTGTCGTTGTCCCCAGCGCATTCTCCCCATCCTCCTCAGCTCTTTTTTTGCGGAGGCTCCTCCTTTGAGGGCCTCTGGGGGCCTCACAAAAGTTGTTTCAGGTTTTCTTAAGGCCTTCTGGAGGCCTCCTGGGCGTATTCTGGGGGCCTCTGGGGGCTTCCTCGGGCCACCCTGCCTCCAACCGCGGTCTCCCTGAACGACCGGGCCGGGTCACGATTTGGAATGCTTCGGAGGGTGTCTTGGGGCCATCTTGGGCCGCCATGGGGCTCTCTGAGGGCCATCTTGGACCCGTGTCGTGCAGTTTTGGGGTCTCTTGGACTGACTGGAAGCCCTTTCGGATGGTTGTGGGGCGATTTTGGAGCCTCCCAGGCGGCCTCGGACGCCCAGAACACCGCCGTCTTGGAGCGTCGGGAAGCCGAAAAAAAGATAACCCCACAATTCACCAAAAACAATAGAACATCTATGATTTTTGCCTCTTGGGGCCTTCTTGGGAGTGCTCTTGGAGGCCTCTTTGGGGCCGTCCTGGAGGCCTTTGGGCTCTTGAGGTCACGTCGGTCATTTTTGGAGCGCTCTTGTGTTGTCCTGGAGGTTTTTGGGATGTCTCCGATGACCCCCTGATCGCCGTAGGTGTGCTGGGAAGGGTTGGCAAAACGCCCTGCGAGGCCCGGGGGGCAGCTTCGAGGCCCGTCCGGAGGGTCTCAAAGCCCCAGATCCCGGGAGTCCGGTTTTTTTGGGGGGGTCCCCCCGCCAGGGCTTATAAACATATAGGAAGAGGAACACACACACACACATATATATACACACACGTCCAACATCCACCTGTAGAGGGGCCCGCCCGACCGAACCCTGGGCTCTCCGCCGAGTCTCGTGCGGGGGGTGGGCGCGCCCACCCCCCTCTGGCCATCGCTCGGACGTCCATTCCCCTATGTTTTTGTCGGTTTCGCGGTCGAGGATGCTCCTCGAAGGTCCTCGCCGAGAAAGAAAATGCACACGTCCGAGCGATGCCAAGCCCTTGCCAGAACACCGTGCCGCGACGCACGGCCCGGGGCCAGAACCGACGGGCGCAGGCCCGCACGCGAGCTGCGGGCACCGCGGCGCCCCGCCGAGCCACGCGAGAGAGAGAGGGGGGCAGCTCTCCAGTGTTCGTGTCGGGCGTTGGCAGAACTGGGTTTATCGGGACCTGGTTTGGTGATGCGTACTGGGGGACGCCCCCCCCGTCCCGTTCCACTGACCACAACTGCCGTCACCCGAAGAACACCAGCTACGGCAGACCTGGTTTAGTGATTCTGGCCAATTTAAGAGCTCTGGGGCCCTACCACTATCGGGATCCCCTTACCAGGGGTCCTGGCCATACCCGAACGTGGCAAGGGTGGCGGCTTTCCAGTGTTAGGTCGGGCGCGTCCCCCTACAGGCGGATTTTGGAGGAGAAATGACAACGATG